GGAGAGGTCCCATACAGGCCTGAACACCCTGCTTCTTTCCTGGTCTCCTCGAGTGAATTTAATATGCAGTCACTCAGCAGGAAAGCCTTCACACAGTCCACCCTCTGAGTGGGCAGAGGCCCCTAGCTCCCTCAGCATGTGCTGACTAATAGTAGGATCCACAACCAGGAGCCAGTCTGCTTGGTCCCAAAGCTAACTAAGCTCACTCCCTGACGGTGTGACAGTGGCAAGTTACCCAGCTTTCCCAAGTCTTAGATTCCCCGTCTATAACCTGGAGAGGACAGGACACAGACCTCATAGACCTGCTGTTGAGGGTGCATAAGTCCATATGGGTGAAGCACTGAGCGTGGCCAGCACCACTCCCCAACACACTTGAGACATCGGGGTGTAATCTCCCCACCAAACCCCTGGCTAGAGTCCCGTGTCAGCCAGCCCACATCCAAACAGATGTTCTCATTGTGAGATTGGACCCGGATCTCTGTGTTCTCACCCGAGAAATGGTATCAGGTAATCCTCAAATAAAGCGAGACCAACCCCCTATTTGGCAGTTGGCAAATATTAACAAGTTATTCAGTCATGGTGAGCCATTGATAAAGACACAGAGGGCGGCATGGTGAAAAGGAAAAGTCATCTGTTTTGTTCTCTGAAAGCACATGTTAAGAACAAACCAGTGGAAGAAGACACTGGTACTATCCTTGCTGTGGTAGACACAGGTATCTTCACACACCCCTGGCCACCTTCTTTCCTAAAGCCCTGGTCTCTAACAGACAAGGGGCAACACCTCGCACTTGCTTGCCCTAAGAAAGAGGCACAGCATGTATGTGGCCTCATTGGATTTAGAGGACAAGATTTGCTGCACTTGAGAATATCACTTCACACTAGTTGTTGGACAAAGCATAAGACTGCCAGTCTCCAGGGAATTTCAAGGTAGAAAGTCCCTGTAGCAGACCCAGGCTGGAACAAGCAGTTTTGTTTCTTGGGCTGTGGGTCCAGTGGATCCAATGTGCTAGGTATGTGCTACAGACAGGTTGCAGGGTGGAGTCTGAGGCATGCTGTGATGGGGAATTGCAGCACGTATCCTTGGTTCCACAACAAAGTCATTCCCTCAATAACAAAGACATACATTTGAAAAACATCTCCTGAGATACTCTTGTTAGGTCCTAGTAGGAGCTGAGTACGTGGCAGTGGACATCAAGGGACCATTCAAACTGAGCTTCCCTGAATAAGTTGAATGTATTGGTTCACAGAGACATAAAAGTAGATGGCAGAGCAGTAGCCATTATGTGATGGGATGGATACCTGTGCATCTGGCTTGAGCCACTCCAGAAAGCTTAAGCAAATTGCATAAGCAAGTGGTCCAGGTTCTGAAATCACCTACCTCTACTGCATTGCTGCTGCTGCTTCATTTTGCTTTGATGATCTCTTGGGATTCCTATAATCACTAACACCGACACATGTACCAGCACAGCATGCTATGTTAGCACATGCAGCATCATGGTCCCACATAGTGTGTCCCTGCAGGACAGGGGGAAAGGGAAATCCTCCCAGGGGTAAGATCTGCAAGTATAACTTGGTCATCCATGTTATATCTTAGGGAGAGATAGTCCATAGTAAAGTTTATATGAAATGGAAAATTACTTGGTCATTTGGTGAGAGTCCTAGAAAAAATAATGAGAGATTGGAGAAAAGAAGGTCTGGGGGTGGGGAGGAAGGAAGTATTATGGCAACACCAGGACTGGGGTCCATTTCAACAAGGCTGAGAGTGAGTGACTTCTTACATTTCAAGTCCAAGAAACCTCACTTACCTTACCCGCGTCCCAGACCTGGTAGATGGAAGTGCGCACAAAGATGCAGAACTTTGGGCCTCATGGACGTCCACCAGTGAGCATCAGTTATGAGAAAGTAGTGAACAACCAGCAAGAAATAAGTCATCCTGTGGATATCAGCTAGTCTTTCTCTTTAGACTAGTCACTTCAGCACTGGCACAATGGAGTAACAAGCATAGTGGAAAGATGGCAGAAAGATGGAGGCTTTGTGTGAGCTCAAGATCACGGATACCTTCTCACCGTGGCTGAGGGCTATTGCTGAGTGCCCAACTTGTCTGCAGCAGAGACAGACACTGAGCCCTACTAATGATACTTAGTTGGGGAAAATGTCCAGCTGCATGGTAGGAAGTTGATTAGATCAGACCCCTTTTCCCTTTGAGGGAGCAGTGATATGTCCTTGTCAGAATTGACACAAACCCTAGGACCACCACCCACATGCTTACAGAACACCCTGCTCCTTCAATATTGTGCCCTACAGCTCAGTGCCTCAAGCCAAAAAAACCCATTTTACAGCAAAGAAGCACAACCATGGGTTCATGACCCCAGGATTTGTTGGTCTTACCCCATTATCCAGAAATATCCGGTTTGATAGACTGGTCAATTGAAATCTCAGGAATACACCATATAAAGAACTTTGTGGGGTTGGGTCTCTCTCCTCCAACACAGGATTTATGACTTAAACCAATGCGTATGGTACACTTGGGCTGCTACAATAAGAATGCCACAGATGGTGGTTTAGACAGCATTTACTTCTCACAGTTCTGGAGCGGACACTAACCCCAGCATGAGGCTTTAACCCTCTTGACCTTATTACCTCACAGAGAACCCATGTCCTAATACTATCTTCATCAGGGCTCGGGTTTCAGCCTCAGAAGGGGGAGTAGGTACTGGCATACATTCCCCGATAACCAGAAAACAGATCTGAGGAGCAAGAACTGGAATTAGGAATCACTTCCTCTCTGTTACATCCAGTCACATACTTGCCAATTTGTGCTTCTCTTGATCCTACTTTTTGAATCTAGTTATCTGTCCTAGTTGATAGAGGGAAAAGATTTCTACCAGAAGGCATAGTAAGAATTCCATTCAACTGGAAGCTGCAACTACCGCTTATCCACCTTGGGTTTCTAATGCTGTGAACCAATAAGGAAAGGAAGAAGGTTCCTGTACTGACTGGGATAATCAATCATAGTTACCACAAGGAGTTAAGATATCTGCCCCTCACTATGGGGGGCAGGGAGGAGAATGCCTTGTAACCAAGGACTCTCTGGGGCATCTCTAAGTACTTTTGTGCCTGAAGACCTTTAATAGGTAGTTATGATAATGAGGGTAAGGCAACCATGGGACTATTCCTTTGGAAAATGAAGGTCTGGACCACACCACCAAGGCTAAAAAACAAAAACAAAAAAACACTAGATGAAGTAAAACAGAAGGTGGGGCCATCCAGAATAAACAGCGAGGAAGATGACAAATACTGATCAGACTCTCTGAACCAGTCATAGCCATGGGGGATTGTAGGCTTTCCTACCTCTTGCCTCAGCCATTGAGAAAAACACTCTGGACCTCTACCTTGAAAGAGGTGGCATGACTCATTGAACTCATAGCTCCACCCTTGGAGAACTAGGATTTCTCTACAGATTAAATGCAAATCCTACAATGTAGTATAAGATTTGAACACAGAAAGAGATGCTATGTTAGACACAAGCTTGGATCCCCCTGAGATTCTTGTCATTTCACATTTCCACAGGAATTGCCTGTTTCCCAGACCACTGCTGCCTTTGCCAGAGCCCTATTTTGTGACTTGAGTTGATGAGTTCAAGTTGAAGACTTAGGATAGCTTTCTATCTCACAGATTTTAGTCTGTGAGGGCTGTTCCAATTAACACAAATTTGAATTTAGGTTATATGGGTAGGAACAGTGAGTCACTGACATTAAAAATGTAAATATTGACAGGGTGGCTTCTCTCCTAATTTTGACCAACGGATACTTTGACTCTATCCATGTGCAGAGGCAGCAAACTTTAAAACGTAATCTCTTATTTTCTGAGCAATGCATGGTGGAGATGCAAGCCCAGATACCCACTGCTTAAACCTTCTTTACCTGACTCCTTAGCCATTAGTGGGGAGGGGTAAGGGAGGGGTGTGTTGAAAAGGCTGGCTTTACCTGAAGGCAATAGATTTTTGCAAAGCTACTTCATTAACTTTGTGCACCTGGGCAAATGGTTTTGGTCTCTTATGTGCTAGCAGTGGGGGTGAGGATGAGGGGAGGGGTGTCCCAGAGCATTTGCCAATATGTTCACATAGTAAACAAGTAAGAAAGATCTAGTTTCTAGTCCAACTCTGCCACCAGCTTCTGAGACACTAGAAGACCCTGACCAAGTTAAACTGAGTTCGGTTTACCTGCAAAATGGGGAATGTTCCCTTTTCCCTTCCTACTTTGTGAGGACTGAAAGTGGGAAATGGCCTTGTGCTCTGGTTACAGGAGGCATAAGCACATTGCAAGCTGAAGACTCAGCACTGAAGTCATTAACAGTCTGCTACAATGAGCTGCTTAGCTGGGGGAGATTCTCTCTCCCTTCTTCCAGCATTGCCTGGTTTTGCCTAGCCAGCTCCATTGTCTGCTAGAGGATGAAGCCAGGCCCCCTCCTCTTACCTCCTCATTTTCACAGATTTCATATGACCTCAAAAAGTCCTTCCAGAAGTCTGACCCACATCCTTCCTGTCGCAACTATGCTCCCTTCCCTCCTTGAAAGTCCTTAGACCATAATCCTGAGTATGAATCTCTGGCACCAGAGTCCCGTCCCACTGTTAAAAGAAAAGGGAGAGAGAAAGAGAGAGCAGGAGAGGGAGGGAGGGGGCAGAGCCTCCTGGGGAGTGCAGGAGAAAGAGTGTGAGAGAGGCGGTCAGAAGCAGTAAGGCCCTCCCAACACCCAGACACAAAGTGACACAACACCCATACACCCATCATCACACCACCACCGCCACCTTTAGCTGCCTGGCTTCCGGGGGAGGGACAACTATCTTAGGCTTTCCATGACGTGGGCCCTCTGCCAGGGCTAGGGCTGTGGGTGAGGCGACACTTCCTGCCTGGGGTAAGAGAAGATATGAGGTGCTGAGTGCGCTCACCTTTGGAGTGCACCTATTTATACCAGACTGGGAGCTCCCTTCCTAGGCGCCCATGGAGTTACCCCTGGCCCAGATAGGCCCCCAAGGTAAGTGAAGTTAGAGAATGTGGGTGGGAGGGTACATGAAGACTCCTACATCCCTGCCCCCTGTCCCAGATCTAAGCTCCCACATATATCTGGCATGAGGGGCCGCAGCTCTGGCAAGGCTGATGGGCAGGGTGCCCAGACCCCACTTCTCCTTCATTGGGGCTTCAGGTCCTTGCGCTCTACTGAGGACAAAGGTGACAGGGTTCCCTGAGTGGTTCTTAGGAAGGAGGAAGAGAGAAGCAGGAGAATGAGAGTAGCAGACAGAGGACTTTGGGCCAGAAGGGGGACTTGCCCTGAAGAGACCTGTCTCCCTGCAGCCATCAGAAAGACAGCTGACTTGCCACGACACTCCGACGACACTCCCGTCCCCATTTCTCCTGCAGCCCTCTGTGAGCCAGCCTGTCTGTGCCTCCTTGGCCTATTACTCCTTCCTGAGAAATCTCCCTTGCTGTCCCTCCAGCATTACTCTAAAAGTCATGACTGTCCCTCTTCTCCAGGCCCTGCTCAGAAGGCTACAGGGCCCCTCTGAGCCTGGGGGAGGGGTGGGCAGCAGAGACAGAAAGGCATCCCTCACTGAAACAGTTCACTGTCCTCTCATGTTCACAGGGAGCCGAAACGTCCCTGCCCCAACCTTCAGCACCTTCCAGCCAGTGAACCTGACCCCCCGGAGCTGTAAAGGTGTGGAAATACTTCCAGGACCCAGATGCCAGGCCCAGAAAGCCAAAGAGGCCCAGCCCAACCCCAGGAAGCTTGTTGTCCATGCTGTGGTGAGTAGGAACAATGCAGCTCCCTCATCTACTTGCCCCCTTCCATGAGGGAGGACTGGTGGACAAAGGCCAACCGGATGAGCACAGGAAGATCTGGGGCCCAGAGAGAGGGCAAGGAAGTGGGCTGTACCTCCTTCATCTGCCAAATTGACCATTCACACTCATTGTTCTTCCGCCCTTGAGAAACTCAGACTGAATCCACAGGAGAGCAGGAGATAGCACAGTGAGGCCCAGCAGTAGGCTTCTGGATTTCTGTCCATGGCCTTTCTTGGCCTAGGTCTCAGTCCTCCTTACCAGTGGGTCCCCAGGAAACCCTACTACCTTGTCCTGGTCTCTGGGGGTCCCTAATATAGCATCTCCCTCAGCCCTCTGGTTAGGGAGTGCTTTCTGCTGTCTAGGTCCGCACCCTTATTTAAGCACCATTTGTCAGCTCTTAGTTGTTTGATTAAAGTCCCTCGGGGCCAAAGGGAAACGGAAGAGGAGACCCCAGAACAAAACAGCTGGAGCTGAAAGTGGTTTAAGTTAGACCTTGGGAAGAATTTTCTGGGCAATTAAACCCTAAAACAAGCAACTGGAATGAGAGGCAGGAGATTCTTTCCCAGGCCTAGGAGGGTTTGAGGATAAGAAGGTGGCAGCTGGCTTAGGGTCAGGAGAAGGTCTACTAAGCTTAAGTTCTTTGCCTTCCTTGAACCTTCACCTACCCAGGCATCTCTCCAGGACCCGGGAGCTGCCTCTAAACCAGAGGACAGCGGGCAAGCTCAAGAGGTGCCCAAGGAAGGAGGCCAGTCCCTGCAAGCTGAGACCCGGGCTTGGTTCCAAAAGACCCAGGCCCAATGGCTCCTGAAGCATGGGGCAGCCCCCACCTGGTTCCATGGCTTCATCACCCGGAGGTGAGTCACAGGGGAGTTAAACAGGCCCCATGAGTGGCAAGTGGCATTTATTCACTTGTCAGGAATAAATTAAGGCCACAAGTCCAGGGTACGACTGCTGGTGTTTTCCAGGCCATTCACTGTGACATCTCTTCTGGGGGGTGGGGGAGGGTGTCTAACCCCACCTCCTCTGTGCCTGTTTTCCCCCTCTAGACCCCATTCTCCTCCTAGGCATCTAGTCTTCAGTTTCCTCTCTCTACCCTTCACTCCTCTTCAGCTCTCTCTTTGCTTTCCTCTCTTGCAGTTCTTTCTTCTTCTTTCACTTCTGAGTTCCACTCCTCTGGTATCTCTGTGTTCACCCCTGAAATCTATAAGCACCCTGTGGGCCTCCAGGAGGAAGCCAGGAAGGATGTGGGAATGGCCCTCTGTCCACACCCAGTGCCTGCAGTGGTGGTGGTGGGGGCGCATTTTCAACCTTCTCTAGCCAGGGCAGCTGGCAGGGTAGAGGGGACCCCAGGAAAGGAAGGGAGACAGGGGTGGAGACTGGGAGAGTTAGAGCTGCATGGGACTCTTCTCCATCACCCCCAGGGAGGCTGAAAGGCTGTTGGAGACCAAGCCTCAGGGATGCTACTTGGTGCGATTCAGCGAAAGCGCCGTGACCTTTGTGCTGACTTACAGGTGAGGGGCGGGGCCTCTCGCCCAGCAACTTGGAGGAGGGACTTTGGGCCACGTGGGGGCGGATTGTGAGGGGCAGCACTTCTGACCCATCCGTCGCTCAAGCGAGGCTCTTCGCTCAAGGCGGGCTGCAGAGAGTGGGGCGGAGTCTCTCCTCGAGCTGGTAGCCCGGGTCGGAGAGAGGGAGCGTCTGACCCGAATGGCGTCCCCAGGAGCCGCTCTTGCTGCCGCCACTTCCTACTGGCCCAGCTTGGGGACGGACGCCACGTGGTGCTGGGTGAAGACAGTGCCCACGCGCAGCTGCAGGACCTGCTGAGGCACTACACTGCCTGCCCGCTCAGCCCCTACGGGGAGATGCTCACCCAGCCCCTCGCCCGCCAGGTACGCCTCCGGCCCCTCCCCACCCTGACCACACGGACTTAGGGACCCAGGCTGGTGACCCTCCCCACGCTGAGCCCAGGTCGCAGGACCTAGGCACCAGGGTTCTCTCTTTCAGCGGATGAAAGCCTTACTCTTTGCCCACACAAAGCCCTTGAGACACCAGCCTGACCCCACCAAGGCTGGAGGGCCTGGGGTGACAGCAGTTGCTGTCAGGTCTGGGAAGTAGAACCATGGACAAGACAGATGGGCCACAGACTCACAAAGCTTAGTACCAGTAGCAAGACAATCAAATAATAGGAATCAAGTGTGAGTGTGCTGGAAGAGGAAGAACAGAGTGGAATTCCATTTAGCTTACTTGCCAGTGCTCCCTGAGGAAGTTCTAAGTAGCGACTGTGTGCCAGGTACTCATCTGGGCACTAGGAACATGTTGGTAGCAATAGATAAATCTTACCCTATGCCTTGTCTTCATGGAGCTTACATTCTAGTGGGAAAAGGTAGATACCAAATAAGTAATACCAATAACAATAGAGGGGGAAAATCAGATAATACATAGATCCAGAAATGATAAGTACTGGAAGAAAAGTCAAGCAGTTACCTGGAGTGGCAGTGAAAGGCTCTTTGAAAACTAGGCTACTCAAAGTAAAGTAGACAACCATGTAGACCACTAGAGAAAAAACATTCTCCATAGAAGGAATGGCAGGTACAAAGGCCCTGAGGTAGGTGTGTGCTTGATGTGTTCGAAGAAGAGTGAAAGCAGTGAAGAAGCTGGCCTAAATGGAGAGATAGAGGAGGTAAGAGAGGTGATGGAAAGGAAATGGCCCTGGGTAGTTACAAGGTAAGGAATGTTACCTATCAAGTGTGGGAGGGTTAAGGGGGCCCAGATGGAGGCTACTGTACTATTTCAGTGAGATGATGGAGCCTGGACCAGGGTAGTAAAGGCAGAAAGGTAAGGAGGTGATATGCTGGGTATGTGTTAAAGGTGGAGCTGACAGGTATTTTGCAGAATTAGGTGAGAAGTTGTGAAAAATTGGAGTTGTTACTGAGATGAGAGGAGGAAAGCTCTTGAAGAAGCATGTCTGGGCCAGGGGAGATCCAGAGCTCAGTTTCAGTGTGTACTGTGTGACATAACATTCAATAGCCACATGGTCTCAAGTAGGCAACTAGAATATGAGGCTCAGTGTCTGGGACAGTTGTCAGCATATGGAAAACAGGTTGATTCTGAAGCTTTCATGAAGGAGAGAGAGTAGATGGGAGCTACAGTAATACCAAGTCTCTAGCACTGAGAGTTTGAAGAAACAAGGGAGGAATCTACAAAGACAATGAGAAGGAGCCATCAGGGAAGGGAAGAAGACCCAGGAGAAGGTGATACTTTGCAAGCTGAGCAAAGAAAATGAGTCAAGGCAAAGTGCCAGGAAGTCCAGAAGGACCTTCAGATTAGCTGAAAAAGACACGCAGGACAAGAACAGTGCTTGGCTCCATCTCTGGGTGCTTGATGGCCGTCAGTTCTCAGTGGGGACTATTGCTTAAGGGCAACTCTTTTAAAGAAGGTCTGGAAAATTTGGTGATGATTCACAAGCTGTGGGTTCAAGATTTAGAGAAGTGTGATGCTGAGGTAGCTGAAAGCAGAGCTGTGACAGACCAAGCTCTGTGACCCAGATCTTAAAGATCTTGTCACTCAAACCGTCTAGATTTTGGACTTTAACCTGGAGCAACAGGCAGCCATGGAGGGAAGTTTGGAGGGAAGGGGTGTGGTTCTGTAGAGTGGAGAGTGGTTCAGCAAGGCAAGATGATGCAGGGGAAAAACTAGGAGGCCTGACTGGGGTATGACTGTGGACATGGAGGCAAGTGTGAGGATGCAAAGATATCTAGGCAGTGGGAGGGACAGGGCTTGTGTTTCCCTCGATGTATGGAGTGAGTGAGGTGTCAAGGCATTTTGGCTGTGCTATGGAGCTGCTAAAGAAGATTCTGAGTGAGCAGAGCTTGGGGCAGGGGAAAAGCCTTCTGATTCAGATCCATAGAGCCAGCAGCGCTTAAGCACCTCCAGATGGAGCCAAGCACTTGGTGGACTGCAGAAGCATAAGAAAAGCCCTGTGGCCTAAGCCACAGGAAGCATCAGGCATGCGGAGCGCATTGATCACGCTAGGGCTAAGTGCTGAGCTATCACACCTGCTGTGGAAGGAGCCTGACCACTATAAGGTGCAGCTCTCCTGGAGAAGACTGTCTACCCCCAAAATATCTCTATAAATGAATCCTTTGGCACCTACAGAAATAAACACAGCCCCAACTGTGTGGGAGAGCTCTCACCCAGAATTTCTAGGCTAAGACTTATAATTCGTTTCATTTTTACAACCACAGACACAAATAGAAACTGACCCTGCCCTCGCTCCCAGTTGACATTAAATTTAATGCTAGATAAGGCCGGTGACTAGAGCAACTCCCCCAACTCCTGGTCTCCTTGCCACCTCCATTCCCTCTTCCTGGTCAAGTTTCTGTGTCCTTCCTTCCACATTGAACCAGATATGTTGTTCTCCAGGATCACCTATCCCCGGGCCCCCCCCCCCCCCGCACCTCCCGTCCCTCTGAAGCTAAGTCCCGCCGCCTTCTGTCTCTCCCAGCAGACTCCACAGCCCACAGGACTTCCTCTAAAGACTGAAGAAGCAGACTCTATAAGCAAAAACCAGGAGCCACACCCCCAATATAGCTCAGTCCTCAAGAAGGAGAAGCCTGAAGCCCCAAAGCAGAAAGAGGGAACCCAGGAGACCAAAGAGGTATAAGGCTGGAGGGGTAGGAGGGACTGGGGAAGGAGGCAGCACCTAAGGGAAGGGGAGGGGGCGGATGTAGAAGACCTGAGGCGCGTCCTCAGGCGTTTCCATAGGGGAGCAGGTGGCGTGGCGCTACGGTGGCGCCTACGGGCGGGCGTGGCGTGTGGGCGTGGCTTCGTCGAGGGCGTGGTCTGTGGGCGTGGTCTATGGGAGGGCGTGGGCTGGGGCAGCTCTTAGGTCCTTTCTCCGTTGCCCTGACCGCCCTCCTCCCTGGCCTTGCCTTCTCTCCTAGTCCTGCCAGCCGCCCAGACCCAAGCCTCCCATTCCCGCTAAGCCTCAGCTGCCTGCCGAAGTCTACTCAAGTCCGGCTCCCAAACCGAGTCGGGTTCCTCGGAGACCTAAACCGACCCCACCCCCCAAACCCTCCAACCCCATTTACCACGAGCCTGATGAACCCATCGCTTTCTATGCCATGGGCCGGGGCAGCCCAGGAGAGGCCCCTAGCAACATTTACGCGGAGGTGGAAGTGAAGGTGCCATCAGGGACTGAGGGCTCACTGTGCACCCCGTATCACCAGGTCCTGAGGAAGTGCCGCTCCAGGCCTGCCCCAGGAAGCCAGGTAAATGGGATTCCAGGGCAAAGTTCTACTACGAGAAGAACATCCAGAAAGCCAGATTTGGGAGGGCAGAGAAGGCAATCAGAGTGGATACCTGAGTCAGAATGAAGGTCAGAGCTGCCATGGGAAGGACATAGGGATGGAGCCCAGAGTTAGCGTCTCCTCTCCCCAGGCAGACACCCTTGCCTCCCTTTTGTCAAATATCCACTCCCTCTACTCAGATCACTCCTATTCCACAGAGAAAATAGGGCCCCAGACAAGAGGGGCCTCCACAGCTGATCCCTTCCCCAGCCTGTACTCTGATCTGTGTCCATCTTGTCCTCTTCAGTCTTCCGAGAAGGACCTCACTCTGTGCCTCATTGTGGCCCTACCTGCCCTCTTCTCCCCAGTCTGGACTTGGCTCCTTCCCATGGCCTTCGAAGGCCCTGCCATCTTGAAGTAGAGCACTTAGTTTTCTTCAGGTCACCTCTGATGAGCTCCAGGAAGGAGCCGCAATCCCCTCCCTCCAGGCCCTCTGCTTTCCCCCTCCCAAACCCGCCTCCCCAGTTCTCCTAGGTCTGTTCAGGTCTGTATCTTGTGTCATGGGAAGTGTTAGGCACTCCCTCCCCCTGCTCCTCTGCTTCCCTAACAGCCTCCCTGCTGATGCAGCACCCCTCACTCCCGGGCCCTGGCTCTCACCCTTCCCCAGCAAACTCTTCTCTCCCTGTTCCCTGTATGGAGTGATAAGTCCCCAAGCACCCAAGCCAGCATCCTAGGGCCCCCTCACCAGTTCCCCCTCTTTACCCCCACTCTTCCATAAGCCTCTAGTTTCTGCTGGATCTCTTCCTAAATATATTTTTCTTTTCCCCAGTTTCAGCCCCCATCATTTCTCATCAGGATTCTTCTAAGAGCTTCTTAACTGGTTTCCTAACCACCAATCTTGCTATTTCTGATCCACTCTGCTCTAAGGAAAGCAGAATGGTCTTTCTAAAATGGCTGCCTGGCCCATGAGACCCTCCATACTTGGAGAGGGTAGTGGCTGTTCCCATCCAGAGCTAGTCACATTTCTCCAGACACATCTGGTGGTTTTGAGCTTCCTAGGGTTTGCACATGCCCATCCCTCTGCCTATTACCACTTCCTCCAGGTTCACCCTCCCACTGTCTAGCAGCAGATATCTCTCATCATTCAAGAAAACCAACTTGCTTTCTCTGGAAGAACTTCCCTGCCCTGACCACAGAGGTCATCCATCATGCCTTGTACACACCTGCCAGGCCACTGAATCCCTGGGACACTTGTGCCCCCTTACCCCAGTACAGTGTGAAATCCCTGAGAGCAGGGACTAGGATTTATTCATCTGTTTCCAGAACACCCTGCACAGTGCCTGGCACAGAATAGGTACTGTGTTTGTTGAATGAATGAATGAATGAATGAATGAATGAATGAATGAGAGGGGTTTAGACCTCCTCTCTGCAAACCAGTGTCTATTAAAACCAGATGTCTTAGCCCTTGAAGCTGCAGGCAGATCTAAGAAGCAGGGGGTGTGACCTAAGATTGTCCTTCTCTCTGCAGAATCCAGGTGACCAGAAACTGCATTCTGAGAATTCTGTGGCTGGACAAGGCCCTCCCCTGCCCCACTGGGGGCACACCCTGCCTCACAACCTTTCTAAACTGGTGCTTCAGAGGTCAGGTGTGGCTCCACCTGGGACCTCCTCAGTAGCTGGTGAGTCAGAGCTGGGGAGGACCTGGAACATCAGGTCTAGAGACCTTCACACACACCCGGCGCCCTTCTCAGGAAATGTGGACGGAACAAACCATAGGTGATCAAAGCTGGAAAGGACCTTAGCCATCATCTATTGCGAAGATGGCAAAAAGATGTCACCTTGCATGCCAACTCCAATCCATTGCTCGTGGCTGCCTAGAGTGCTGCACTGAAAGGATGTTAAGGTCAAATCTGAACTCAGCAGAAAGGAGCACCATGATTGATTAGTGATGTCTGCCGAGGGTGAGGGAGGAAGGGAGGCAGAGGGCCTCTCATTGCCCTTACAGATCAAGCCCAACTCCTGGCTGTGAAGATAAGGAAACAAAGCCAGAGCAGGATCATAACTTGGCCAAGGTCAAGGACTAAAAGCCAGGCTTCCTGGTTTCCCCACTCAGGTTTCTGTTCCTCACCCCACATCCCTAACTCTTCTCCACAGGAAATACAGATTTCCTCAGTAAGAGGAAACCCAGAATTCCACCACGAGGGTACTGGTTCACACCTGTGCATTCCAGCTTAGCTCCCTCCCCCAACAGGTCTGGGTCCTTGAGAAGAAACCTGGAGGTCTGAGAAGCAATTGTGGAATACACAGTCATCTTAGAGACATACCACTGGGCCCCTCCATAGAACCCCCAAATTCTAATAGCTCAGTGCTTGGTGATCCTCTAAGGAAAGTGGGCTACGGGCCCCATTGCCTCTTGCTGCCTAGGTTTCTCCTCCTGGAGTCTAATTTCCTTGGCCCTGTGAGCCTCTGAGACTGGGCCCTATTCCAATGCTGCTGTTGTTTGAGGAATGGTTTGGCGAGAACAGATGTTAGAACTTGTTTGTTGACTCTTGCCTGGCTAATAAATCACTGCCAACCACCTCCCCCCGAAGGGATCCAAGCCCTCCAGACTCCTGTTTCTGTCTCTGACTCTCATGTTGTGGAAGGTGAGTGGCTGAACTGCCTTTGCAGCAGGGGTAGAAGGGTCTGGTGTTAAGAGACACTTGGACAAGGGCCTCAGAACTGTGGGCTGGGGGTCAAAAGACACCAGACCTCTCTCTGCAGAGTATCTCTTCCCTAGCTGGGCTGGGCTGGGCTGGGCAGGTAGCTAGGAGCAGAGGGTGACTATGCCACCTGGAGGATACCAGGAGAGGCGATGGCTGAGGGGCAGCCTCGCACCTCCTTCCCTGACCCCTCCACCAAGCATAGGGCTGTGGGCCTTGGTGTGTTGTTAGCCCACCTTCCCCCCAAGTCCCACCTCCAGCCATGGCTCCAGGGCTCTCTGTGTCTTCCTAGTCTTGGACTAGGGCTTAGGCCTCGTCCAGCAGCGTAGGAGTTGGGCTTAGGCCTTTACCTCGGTCATTCCCTCCCCTGTGCCGCTGGTGAGGCTTTCTCTCCTCTGTCCAGACCCTCCTCAGGCCCAGCCTCCTGCTTAGTGCAAAGCTCCACTTTCCCAGCTTCCGCCACCTGGAAGAATGTGCCCTGGATCTCTTTTTTCTTATTCCAGGGGCTCCTTAGAGCTGGGCTGTCTGCCCATGGGCAACCCAAAGGGCTTGAAGCCAACACGGACAGAAACCACTCAGGCCAGCAGAGCAGCAGCCCACCCATGCAGTCTGCTCTCACACTATTTCTCCAAGTCTAGTCCAGATGATGGGTGCCCATCTGGGCCCCTCTTCCTGCCATGCGGTCCTGCACTTACCTGAGGCACAGAGATCCCTCAGTCTCCCATAGCCATGTCCCTGGGACAGGTGCTGCCACCACAGCACCCACAGCCCAGCGCACCAGCTCCTGTGGCTGGCGGGTGCTGCTTCCCCCCCACTTTCCACTCCGGTGCTAATCAGCTTATGGAGGAATATGGTTGCTGAGTCAACAAAGTTGGGGTTCTGCTTCCTTCTGTCTGTATGTAAGTTCTGCTGAGCCGGCTTGAGATGGGGAGACAGGAGGGTGTGGAGGGGGCATATAGTTTTCCCAAAATCGGGGAGGAGACTGAAAGATCTCAGATTAGACTTGGGGTGTCACCTCGGGCGGGGCTGACTCCTTGTGGAAGGCAGGAGGCAAAGAGAGGAGAGGCTGACTGTATAGTAAAAGCTGGAAATCAAGCTCTGGAAATTGAGAAGATTGCCTAAGACCTTGGACATAATAGGATGGGCTGGAGCTGAGAGGGTGGCAGTGCCGAGTCACCTCTTGGCACTTCCGAAGGAGCAAAGCCTCCTAGATTGGCCTCTCCCCATGGGCACCACGCAGCTAGGGTGGTCGGAGAACCTATGGTAACCTGAACCAAGAGTTCTGGGTAACCTCCCATGCTGTGAGCTTTCCACAGATAAGACTTTTTTCTGCTCCACAGTTCCCCACATTCTTTGGAAATGGAGATAATGCCTCCTTTTGCCATCGAAGGGCTTGGCAGACAGGACTGCTGGGGTGAGAAGGCACTTCATCCTCCCCACTGAATTTTTGGCTCAAATAAACTGGCCTCGAGGAGGAGGTAGCAAGATGAGGGCTTTGCTACTCTGCTCTGGACAGATCTCGTCATGCTAACCCAGGGCCCACTATACATACCAAGCTCCTGAGGCCCAGCCATGAAAGCTGGGGTGGAGCCTCCTCACCACCCCAGGGCGAAGGAGCTGGGTCAAGTGTGTGCACTAGCCAGATCACAACCACTACGACCGCTCAGGGCAGGACCCAGCATCCTTCTGCCCTGGCAGAGTCTGCAGAGGGCCAGGCCCCACTTCTTCCTGTGCTGTCCTTCAGCACCCTGGCCAGCCCTGCTCCCCGAGTTTCATTCCTGCTCTGTTTCCCTTAAGTTGCCCCTGTCTGTCTGTTCCTTGGGCAAACAGCAGTAAAGTGCTTTGGGACCCTGTTCAGGGAGGTCGGCCAAGAAACGATGACCTCCGTAATCTCAGCTGTCCAGTCCCATAGCACAGGTACCTTACCTGTTCAGGAGGACTGTGGCCGGTCCCTGCAAAGGCCCCATCCTAGCTCCCAGTCCCCACCTGAAAGCAAGCTAAGCCAAGGGAGGAGTGAAGGAGAGAGGATGGGCGCCACAGAGCATCCCAGCCTCCTGCCACTTCGCTGGGCCCCCCAGTAATGCAGCATTCCCTCAACAGGTGTGGCTTCTGGGACAGCAGGCCCAGCCCCCTCAGGGCTGGTGGCTCTGGGGTAGGAACGGTGACAGCACTGGCACATCGGCTCAGTTTCTAACTCTGATCTGTGGCTCTGCTCTCCTGGTCCGCAAAATGCCACACACCCAGCTTTGTCCCCTCCACTTCTGGGGCTATTTGGGGTAATTCTGACCAAGACCTTCACCCCTTAGTCCACCCCTTGGAATGACTACCATGGCAATTTTAGACAAGTAACATTCCTTATTCCTCCTCCTCCTCATTACTGTTTGTCTTTCCTACCAGGACTTAAAAATAAAATAAAATCTGCCCATTTCTAATCATTCTCTCTCCTGGTATCCAGAAAACTCCAAAAACCAAATGAAATGTTGGCTTTCATAGGACTAATAGGTGACTTTAAAAAAAGTGGCTAGGACTACTTGTAAGAATTAACAAAGAGGGTAAGAGGTATCAGAAGTGTCTGGCCTAACTCCCTCTGTTCCCAGGTGACGCTAGGTCTCACTCTGCCAGTGTCCTGCCTCCCAACCAGGGGCACTTCTAGCTCCATCATGACACAGCCCCTGAAACAACACTCAAGCATTGAATCAAGGAGTGTGGAGACTGTGGAAGGCAGGGCTGCATCTGTCATACGGGGTGCAGGAAAGCCAGCACTCGACTTGGGGTCTAATTTGGCGAGGGGGCCCTCCTTAGCTCACCTCACTACTTAAGAACCTGGAGAGGGGCCATCTCAGGCCTGACCCTCAGGGCCCCATGGAGGGTGGAGGTGGTGAGGGACGCTGATGCTGGCTGGATGCTCCGGTTTGGACAACACAGCCCAGTGTCCCTGTGGGATGTAGGAGCCCTGTCTGGCTCCAATCCGAAGTAGGTCAGATTTCAGATAAGCGGGTGGTTTTCCTGTAAGTGATGAAACCCTCCTCTGTACTTAATGAGAAACAGACTCTTCAACTTACCCAGTGCACAAAACCAGCAGCACGGTGATTCCTCACTTCGGCCTTTACTCTGTCGCCCAAGTCCCCACCACACACCTCTCCATTCTTGCCCTCTGCACTTGACTTTCCTGTCACCATCAAACACCAGCTCCTCCCAGTGGCTCCCTGGAGTTGGGCATCTGTCAGTCAGAGCCCCTCACCCTGCACTCAAGGACTTTCTTCTTGGAGTTTCAACGCTCCCCTGCTGAGGAAGCCGCTGCAGTTTCATCCTTCTGGAGTCCTGGCACCCTCCCAAAAAGACCCCTCCCAGCAACACGGCTCAGTAGTGGTTGTAGTAGGCCTCACACGCTCTCACGACCCAAGCGAGCTGCCTTCCATCTCTGTGAGCTTTGCTGTGAAGGAATCCTGCCTCTACCCTGACATTTGTGGCCATCACAGTGCCCTACAGCTAAATGAAGTCTAAGGTCCATGCCCGTTCCCTCCCCAACCACCCACCTATCCAAAGCAAAATGGTAAGTCTCCAAAAAGATCTGTCCAGCCCCTAGGCTCTATGTCAAATCAGTCCAGGTCAATGACTATGGTATAAATTAATGATAGTAGTAACACATTATAACCCCCTTCAGGGATGTATCACTTTTACCTCCTGCTGGGCAAAAAATTTTAGGTCTAACAACTCTCAGATCACAGAAAGAACCTTTACATTCACTAGTCATAAAGACACCTAAGAGCAGTGTGACTTTCTATATTTGGGCTCACAGGCCTTATTCCCATACAATTCCAAGGGTCTTCAATGGCCAGGAACCCAGGGTAGGAGATGGGTAAGATAGAAAAAAAAGAAAGCGATCACTGAGGCAGCTCACAATGGTTTGGAGGGAGCCTTATACAAGGGACAGGATAATGAATGAGAAGGGTCCAGAACGGACCAAGGAGACA